TCATTACTGCTACCTTTTACATAACACGGTTGGTCTCTATAAAGTAATAATCAGGATCGCAAAAAAAAATCAAATCATTTGAAACACATACTCGACGTTTCTCTCCATTTTGAAATCCGTCTCAGTGATCATGGGCTAGTCCCGAATCTATTTTTTTTCGAAAACGTTTTGTATTTTCGGCGTTTCTCGTTAAAACCTAGTTGTTTTGTCATGGACAGGGACAGTTTTTCAAAAAAAAAAAAGAATCTGAGGTGAAGTGGACAATCCATATGACGCTGTTAGGAGGAAGTGCACCCCAACCTTTTCTCGTTATTTTCACGGCTTTCGTCCACCGATTTCGCACCTTCGGATCGATTCGAAACGTGTAAATACTTACACTATAACTATACGCATTACTGCAACCGCCCACAACACAACGTTTAACCATCATAAAAGTTTGTTGTGAAAACAACTTCTTAAAATTCGCTCCCTCAAAAATAAAATAAAATAGACAAAAGAAACGCCGATTAAAAAATGTATATCGTTTAAAAGTACAGTTGTACGTTGAATGACACAGTGATATAAAAGTACGGCCCAGGGGTATGGCTTCCTCTCATATTTTTGCATTTGGTGGCAAACTTTCGGCGAGAGTCGGAAATCCGGAAACAGTCGACCGTTTCAGGATAGGTGGGCGTGGCTACAGCACGGGAAATATCTCAAATTTACTTGGATGTGAGTAATTATTTTCAGCAAAAAAATCAATAATTGCCCATTTCAGTGGAGCACAGATCTAAAATGGGAAGCGTGTGAGTGGGCATTGCAGAGCAATGCTTTGTTGAGCGGCGCCCTCTACGTCGTCAAAAGAACGGATACGTGTTAGTTTATAATACATCCACAGTGACTGCTATGTCCAATTTGTGATCCATGCTATGAATCGCAAGCGTACACAGATGTCGCTTGGATACACAATGATATTTGGTTATATAGTTATTCGTCATTTAGGTTATAGCAAATATGCAAACAACAGTGTTTCAGTTTTGACGGTCGAAAATAAAGCAATATCGACGTTATGTACATGATTACCACGTCCTTTCAAAATATTACTCTGTCGATGGGGGGGGGCGCGAATCACGAGAACCCTGTTTCCAACTGCTTTCCTTTGATATAACAACTCCAATTAATGTACCATTCGATATTACGACCATAAATAGGTAAATTAGATCGTAGCCTCTTTTAATTTCACGAATGAAGATTCTGATAAATCCTTTAATATATAACTTGCATTTATAATATGTATAATATAAAATTTAACTTTACATTGTAATTTTTTCATTGCAATAAATAAATTATGAAATTAGCACAAGTTCATTGAATCACTTGAATTTAACCAGTGTCCTTAAAATTCATTTTAAATGACAAACCATATATATCTACGAGTGGCTAGTTTCGTTAATTTTAAGTTGTTTGTTCGATATTAAATTTAGTTTGATCTCTTTTTGGTATATTTTGACTTCACAAAAACAAGAAACATCACCGCGATAATTATGAGATACGTGTGAAAATGATTATTGTTGAATCTAACTGTTACGGTTTGATGATTTTTATTTCTGTTCAGTGACGTATATCTGTGTGATAATCAGATGTAAATGTGTGAAATGTACACTGAACGATACGAACAGATGTTCTGACTACAACGTCAATAGGGTTGTTGATTCAGTCACGTGTCATTGTGTTTCGTATTGATCACAATCTATATACATTTCGCAACAAGATCGAGTAGTGGGAATTTTCCGTACATCGAGCACGTGACTCACGCTTAAAATGTGTACCTCCGTGTCGGACAATTTTGGTGTTTTACGACACGAAACGAGTCTTTTTTTGCTAACAAGGAATTTCTACACGGCTAGGAAGACAACACACGCCTTCAATGCAAGTTCAGTTATCTCTCACTGTGTTCTAATGCACATTTCTGTGCGTGAAATCGAGTGAAATGTACACGCGTTTGCTTTTGATACAATGTAAATATCACATACATAGCAGTAATACACTGTGAATGCCGGGCTTGATAACAAGTTACCAAACCACTCGAAATAAATACAGTTTTTTTAGAAGTATACACGTCCGAGTCGAGTATGGAAATGTGGGTGTGACATTCGGAGACTACCTGTGCTGCATTATGAGTTGTGTCCCCATGCTGCATAATGATGCCGTAGGTTATTATTTGTGAAATGCGTCCTTTTCATGTTATTTTTCAGGTTTGCTTGAGAATGAGTGATCTATTGATTGGTTTTCCTGACTAATCATAGGTTATTTGAAAAATATATTCCAGTAGTATTGGTGTAGGATATTTTCGAATTCGCGAATGGCAATATAATGTATCTTCAATTTGTTCTCTAAAAGACCATATAGTATCGTCGCCTGTTTGAAGGCGGAGGACAACAATCTTCAGCAAACCAGAGTAAATAATATAATCACAGTATAGTGGTATTTTTCCGATGTTTTATTCTTGACGAGATAATCCGTACTATAAAACGCAGCATGTAAACGGCGTTTTTAATAGTAGGAGTAATGGCTCAAATGCATTTATTTAGAATGATTCTAGGAACATATTTGAAAACAAAATATGAAATTTCATTTTTTAACTATACATTTCCTTGTTCGTTTTCAAACAACGTGCTTTCAATTTATACATGCTGCTCTCAATGTGGTTGTTGGAATTTATTACGTGATGTATTATGTAATTAATGAGACCATTGTATTCACATTATTCCGACTACATGTGCGTTTATGTTATTTATGTTAACGACGCAAATGCTAGATAATCACTTTATGTTTACAGTTGTACTTCGTATTATTTGATTGATCAGTATAAACAACATGTGCTGTCAAACAATAAACCTACCATGGTGTTTTCAGACACCGAATCCAGGCTCGTAATGAACATACGAACTGACACGTTCAGTTGACCTGAAAGTTCAAGATTTAGTTTGATTAGTTATTCATGGTATATTTAAGCAATAAAGCATCGACCACCAAGCTTATACCGAGAGATTTTGCCTATAAGCATAATCTATTTGAACCCGTGTAAGCAATGGTTCAGTGCGCAATCGTGTGTTATACGAGCAAAACTTTTCTTTGTTTCATAATATGATTAAATTTTGCGAGGAATCATGCGACCTGATTATTATGCAGAAATGTAATTCTAAGCAAATTAACTACGCTTCCTACCTAATGAGTATTTACGACGTCGATGAATTTAAAACACAATTATAACCACACACATACCCGTCAGTTAGAAGCAAACAGTTTTTTTTTTTAACTTTTTATCTACGCTCATAAATTTACTGTCTTTTACTCTGCAGCAGTACACAATACTCATTGGCCGTTGTGGCATGTTTCCAAATTAATATGCATAACCTCAATCTATCATGTATACAGTTTTACTATTGGTGTAAGTAGTGTCAGGTAAGAAAACCACATAGGTTCATTGGGTGTACAGTTCCATAACAGTAACGTGAGCGGCCCTGGAACCAGCATTACTTCATTTTTAGATAACCGTATTCGCGACTCCTATTATTTCATGTATGTTTATTTCCTACATGTTACAAAACATCTGGTAGAACAATTTTAATGTTCTGCCTTTTTAAAGATATTATACGTTTGTGACCTTATCCTGGTATCACCATAGCGACAACTGCCAAAATATTGTTTGGAAATGATGCCAAATAACATAATAATAAACCGATGTCGCAATTGTATGGTCTCCAGGTCTACTACATAACGTAACTACTTTTTCATTTACCTTCGTAGTTGGGTCTGACAATGCTTGAACCATCAATATGCAATTCATCAATGATATGCTTTTCAGTTGAGACCGTAGGTACCACTGACATTCTGAAAGAAAGAAAATGAATTCAAAAGTTGCATTGAAAGTGTTCTTGTAACATAATGTAACGAAACATTGCTACATTGCTTTGGTTGATTGGACAGGGGCTTTTTCTTGGAATCACGATCAAGTAAAACTATTTTGCGTTTAGTCAAATGTAAATGTGATTAATTATGTACGAATAACTGAAACCGCCCCAAATCTAAACGTTATAGAACATGTTTATTCGAACATATATGGGCTATCATGTAAAGGCAGACCATACATACATTGATTATTTTTAATTGTTAATTTCAGTATTAGAACAAATAATAGTAGTTGTACACGTATGATATGTGTTTGGGGTCACAACTAAACCAACAAACGAACAAGTAACCATAATTGAAATTGCTACAAAATTAATAACAATTAAATAATTCAGACCTAAGAAGCTATTCTGTGCGTCAACTAACATTCAAATTCACAAGCCATTTTCACCAGCCACATTAATACATTTTATTGCTAGTGCTTTTGTGACCAACTTCCTTGTACACTGTACACCCACGCGATGTATCAAGTTTTTTACAATGGTATTCTTTGTCTGTTTCCATTACCTTGTCGTGATATACAGCAAGTAAAATTGCGTTTTTTTGACATTCGTTCTATGATAGAGTGAATGATGACATACTTTTTTTATTACTAGGAATATTGAGTGATTGAACTTGTGTTGATTTCACGAACACAATAGCACGTGCATGTCTATGTATTACATGGTGTTTGTTCGTGTATGTGTGTGTCTACTTCTATAATGAACGGTGGCGTTCCCAATCTTGAATAAATTGCCTATTTGGGCAAAATTTTGAATTGTGAAGATATCACCGTTATTACTGTTTTTGTGTGTAGGTTGCCGCGGAAATATAAGTTGGATCATTATATATCAGAATATTTTGTACGTTATAAGATCGAATCGACTGCATCGTTTTAATTTTGTAATTGGCCTGACATATGATGAAAACATGTTTTAATATGAGTATTTATAAGTAATTGATATCTATAATTATGATGATATATATGCCAGCTAATTTTAAATAATAATAATATTGTTTACACCCATAGGAATATGTTTTAAACAACATTATTTTTTAGTCGAATGAATCACAAAAATATTGATAATCTGATTCTGTTATAACTAGTGTCATTTAATCACATCTCTTCCTCTCTCTTTCATACACTAGACATTAGCATTTGCCATTCATGAAAGATTAATGTGACCACGCTCAGTAATATTTGCACAACAATAGTCATCAAACATCATGACAGCTGAGTTGTAATGACGCTACTGTTGTGGCCGAGAGTTCCCGAAGTAACACGTTGCTTACAATATACATGTACGTTCATCGGAGATTCAAATATAGAAAGAGAGAGCCTGGTCGTTTTATTATATATGTAACTGTTTCATGCTTATAGTTAATACTCATCGGTAAATTGGCGTATGCAACCAAACAACTGAAAGGCTAAAGGACGCAACAAGAGTGGGTAAAATAGAATCAATAGCTTCCGACATGAGAAACACAACTGGTACTTACATAAAAACATAAATCATGATGTACTGCATTTTTGTCAATAATTCTCCTGCTTTTCTACCATTCAACATGTTATTTATCTAACATCTGTAATATAACCCAATGCACAAGTGTTAAATTACGCGATCAATTCTACTTGGCAAAAACACGGATGAATGTAATTTTGCATTAATGATTTATATTAATATCTGTAACATAACCGTTTGCCCTGAAATCGTGAAGCTGTCATGGATAACCAGAGCAATTGCTAGGAGGCTGGAGACTTATATTACATCAAAGCCTCGGTCTAGCCGAGTAAATGAAATCTACCCACCCCAAAACTGTAAGGCGGGTGCGTAATACGCAATGGGAATCAGATAGGTTAAATATCTTACCTCCGATTACGTTGGGTTGACGGTGCGGTATGGAATTCGCGTGTTAGGTGTATTCATTGTGAGTGATACACAACTAACTGCGTATGTATCTATATAAATAAATAAATACGGGTACCACATTGGCGTATTAAGTGGCAGCACGTGACACATAATACAACACGCGAACAATTGTCAGTGCGCAGCGAACGTACACAATTTACGAATTTAATTAGCGTCTTGTGTTGTGTACAACGAATGTATTTGTTGTGGAGCCGTTACAAATTACCGCAGATATTCTCTTCTGGCAGCTCAGTAAAACAAATTACTAAATATCAAAACGATTAACATGTCCGCTCGATGGGTGCGGTCGTTGTTAATTTCACTCATTGGGAAGTTCAAACAAAAATGTTTAAACAAATATTTTTTTTTCTATGACAATTCCGCGATTCGTCCGTAATGATGTGTTTCGTTGCATCATTAATGAGTATTTCGTTTGTTTACAACAAAATACCAGTAAATTTAATATGGTAATCAGATGAGCGTTCTATCTATTTTTAATGAATGTTGAAGATCATGCCCAGGTGTTTGTTTGAGTGCAGGTGCCGGTGATCTGCGTGTAACTGTTTTCACTTGCTAAATGTTGATGTCATTCTACACGGAAGATAGAGTGTTGTTTTGCGCATGTACAAAGTTTGCCAACGGCCAACGCGATTAAGATAGGGAACGTGGGAAACCAACAGAAGCGTTTTGTTTTTGTTTTCAGACAAAGACCAACTTGGCGACGTGATACAAACGAGTCATTTTTTTAATCAACTACAGGACCATGGGATCGAAATATCTGACGCATGTCACGAACTAATTTCCACCGTGTTTCATGCGTATTCAACTCAGACAACCATGTTACATGTATATCATTAGCTGGTTTAACATTGAAATGAGGTTCCGCCACCCATTTTAGATATAATTGTGTTCAATTCTAAATGTTGCCTAGTATCAGGATGCAGATAAAACGACATCTCCAAGCTCGTCTAGTTCGCCAACACAAAATTACGAGATCAGACGCTATACTGTGACGCGTAATGCACTCCGACGGTGTCGACGCTAGGAAACACGTGGTGCCAGCTCAATTAGATTGTCCTTTTGAAAGTTCAAATTAGATACTCCTTGTGAAATTGACCACAATGTCAGACTCGTTGACATCAGAGTAACTGATCACCGCGGATAGCCATCAATACAGCTCAATGGTTGAATTCCAAGACGGTTAGAGTTCAATAAGATAGCTCTTCGGGAATAGGTTTGGTTCTGCTTCGCCACGCTGTTTGTTTTTTAGCCAAGCAATTAGTTTTTGAACGTGAAATATGTGTATCAAAGGGCACACATTTGTCGCACGTAATCTGTTTTTCCTATCTCCACGGTATCGTCGTTATCACACTAACGTCTGTGCGCCCGTTGTTGTGTGCGTTCAGAAAATAGAACTAAATGTGAGCTATATGCTACATTTCATGTGTTGGTAGACGTTTGCTCGCTGTGCTTATATGGCGACAGTGAAATGCACCACACCAGTAACAAGCGGAGAGAATTACAAGCGCTATCAAGATAGAAAACACATCCACGGCCAGACGTTTCTTCAATAGAATATTACTTTGTTTTTCCGCTTCACTGGTCAATAACGTGATGAAATACGGGTCGTAATTTCAAATATTAACTAATTATATAAGGTCACGTGGCGTACTGGTTAATACGTTATCAAAATGTGTTTATTTATTTATTTTTTATTTATTTATTTATTTATTTATTTATTTATTTATTTATTTATTTATTTATTTATTTATTTATTTATTTATTTATTTATTTATTTATTTATTTATTTATTTATTTATTTATTTATTAAAAACACCTATACTACCCCAGTTACCAGAAATTAATTATGAACTTTAGCATTCATTTTAAAATAGTTGGATCGCTCTTTGGTGTAACACAATAAATTTATAGGTAGTTTAATGTAAGCAATTGAAACTCGCGTTATGTGATCACAGCGTGAAAAGCGATTCAACTTGACAGCCAAAGATTTGAAATACGATAGTCTTCTGATCGTGTGCAATGGTGCGTTTGGTTATGCGTCGCTATTTCACTTGCTCTGTGTACAGCTAGACCTCGCATATAGCGCAGTCCAAGATAAGTGTCGCCTAAAGCCCGGTTTCCATGCACCAAGCAATGCACGCATTTCCTCGTTCGTTGCATCGTGTGTATGTTACAATCGCGTTACCACGATGGGCCAGGCAACGACGCCTGATAGACCTTCTGAAAAGATCCGATGTTGTAATATGCATGATGTGCACGTACCAGTAATTTGATTTGATAATATGGCGGCGGTAGTGTACAGTTATGTATTTTTCATGTGAAAAAGTCCCATGCAGAAGACTCCACATTTACGGACAATTCTCCGGTAGTTCAAATTGCCACGCATTTTTTTTTTCACAAAATCGGAACGCCAATTGTACATCCTCAACAATTCGGTCGTTCGTTCGCGTATTTCGTCTCCGTGCGCAAAACCAAGCTCGTTCACAGTGAAATGCCAACGGGGAAATGACACATTTTTTCCTAATTCTATCTCTAAAATCTCTATCTCTAAAAATAAGAATTTACTCGTTTTACAACGTTAATATGCACAAATAATATTGTTAAATTGAATGATACACACATGATTTCGCTAGTTTGATTCGTGAAAATCATATAGTGTATATTGGGTAAATTGTGTGATACATTTTCGGGAAATAAAAAATAATAATTTCAAGGTTGAATTTTTTTCGTCAAATTAGTAATCTACCCTAGAATCCTTCAACGATGCTCAACACGTCTGTCCTAGATATTTACCCGTAGTTATACAAACTTACATGACTTTGACTTCAAAATTTAGCAAGGTCTTGGGAAAAGTTGTTGGAATATGTGTGCCAATTTTACTGGTACTGGCTAGTTTTCATATATAGTTATATAGCACAAAAACACATGTTGCGACATTGACCTTTGAACATTTCTTCTTAGAAGGTTATTGTGTCGTGTGCGTACATGGGAAATATTGACGCCAAGTATGAAGTCTGTAGCTACTTTTCCCTCCGACTTATAACACAGCAGATATATTCAAGTGTTATGTAAATAAACAATTTGTTTACAATACGTGATAACTATAACTATAATATAAATATTACCCGGGGTACAATTGGACATATCAATATCATGATGTATATATTCAACTACCAGTCTGATATAATATGTAGCGTAAGTTTTGTAAAGAGTAGTACCCTAACATGAAGTTAGTTTTTTATGTGATGTATAATAAAACATACAATTTCGATATGTATTACAATGTATAATAAATAACCTATTTTTTTTTACTGCTTTGACTTCCTTTGGTGAACTTGTTTTGTACTTGTGTATTGTTGGTTAGTCATTTGTGCTATGTAACTTTCTTTGTAGGGTTGTGCTGTGGTATGCTTGTTTTGTGGATTATTTGTCGTTTAAATATGTAAAGTGGTATACGTGACTGTTAAGATGATATAGCGAGTGTTGTATGTGGGGCACGGGATGCTCTCTCTTTTCAAAACATCACTACATATACACTATGAAGTGCATATATCTTTCTCTTACTGAATGTGTACTGTATTGTTAGGTTCGTTGTTTTGTTTTTGTGGATTGTTTCGTCAATTATTGTTTGCGGTCATTTGGGTTGTGTTCTTAAACTTTATATTTCTGTATACGCCCGTTATATAAAAATTTACGTCATTTTTTCACTTCAGAATACTACGGTTATGTATTTTTACTGATATTTGAAACAGTTAATTCAATATCGATCGACACTATAAGCACACTCATATCAATAGCAAGTGTGTGTTTGTGTGTTTATCATCATAAGCATTATTTACGACATTTCTTGTAAATTCGCCATTCTTAGAATAACTTGTGTATGTCTTTTTTATTACTTTTTCATTCCCTTCTCCAACAACAACGGGATAGATCGGGATTATCCCATAATGTAAAAACAAAAGGCCAAAACTGGCGAACAGCTTACAATAATAACACAGGTCGAGACTATGTAGTACGACTTATACTCATATCATTTTACGAGATTACGTCTGGCAACTTATGGAACTAAACAATTTATGCTTCACCATAGAAGCAGCACTCAGACAAAATGAAACCAGATGTCTGTATATTGGGTGTACACATTTAAACGATGGGGTAGATATCTTGAATATATCTTGAACAGCCATCAAAATTATATTTCAACATACATCCGAATGAATACTAGAAAACAGAAAATATCTACATTACACATCTATAATTACATGGTAAATTAGAATGTCTACTGTAAAAGGGTATTATTTTGAAGAGTAATGAGACAGATCTGTGACAAGGACCATACACAAAAGAACATGACAGTGTAGCCGCAAGCTGCTGAGGGCGTACTTTATTTTGAGTCATAACGACAACGGCAACATTTCCATGCACGCACGCACATGTAGTACACTAGATTTACCAGCATTATATCTTGTCATTCGACTGACCGTACAATGAGAATTCGCAAGGTCTCAGAACAAAGCTACAAAACTTTCACATGATCTCTTATTTGGGGGAAGTAATTTTGACGTAATCTTACTCGCATCATGTAGGTGAAAAGAGAAGGAGTCACAGCCAAGCTTAGATCAAAGGTACCAGGATGG